CATGTCTGCTAAGGACCTTGTTCTTGGTGGTGACTCTCCACAGTGACACAAGGTACCATATGATGAGAATGGGCTGAGCAAGAGAGCTAACCTGCTCACTCACTCCTTATAAAGCCCTCAGAACCATACCCATGACCACCCATTAAACCACCAACCCATTACTCCATGAATGGATCAATCCATTCACCTTTCAGCTGCCATTATAGGATTTCCCACCCTCTTAACACTGTTACAGCGGAGATCAAGTTTCCAATACATGAACTTTTAGGGGACACATTTGACCTGTAGCATACAGTGACTCTGTTTTCTGATCCCCAACTTAGGAAAAAGTTCTGTGTACCTGTTTATGGGTTTCAGTTACAGATCATGCAGCTTTAATGCCAAAGAAATCAAAGAAATAAGATTGAGGGTAGAAAAGAAATTTAAATACTGATTTATGTGTAGGACTTCAGGAATATCTATCTCTTCCCTTTCAGTCTCTCTCTCTTTCTGTCTCTTTTTCTCTCTCTGTCCCTGTCTCTGTTCTGTCTCCCTCACATTCTCTGTGTGATACATACACACTAAATAAAACATGAAACCCCTGATAGCAAAGATGGGAAACAGAAAGAGAGAATAACTTGAGATATTGGAAACCGATAATTATTACCCAAGTGGATATTGCCATTTCTGAATAGTTCTATCAATAATAATCTACATGTCCTCTAAATGAAAGGCTTTATGTTGGGTGAATAAAATCTGGTCAGTAGCTCTGCATCCTCAATAATTCTTTAATCCTCAATCTTTCCCCATAGATTTTATATTTCAAACCATTTAAAAGATATCATTGCCTCAGGATGGTTCTTGCCTAAAACAAGTAGCACAAATACTTATGCTATTGATCGTGAAGACAAAGTTCTGTTTTATTTTTCCATTTTTAATGAGAACAATCAAAAATGTTTTTAAAGTTTGACATCAAAATTATTTGTTGTTATCTATTTATCCATTATGTGGAAGCTTTAAAAAAGCTAGAACGTTAACAACTAGTAAAAATGGTTTATTAGGGCATGAATTTGAAATAGGTCCCCAAGGGATAATGAATCCAGCTTATATTATTGGAAAATGTGAAGAGTCATTAATTCATATTTTGCTGCCTTACTATTCTATTAACTGATGCAAAAATAAATTCTCTTGTCATCATTCTCATTTCAACATGATTAGCAAGATATTAGTGCAGTAGCTGGGTTCAAAAGTTAATAATAAACCTAAATCCAGAATAATTTTGAAAGTACCCAAACAACAAAAGGCAGTGGACAGTGAAAACTGAAATGTAGCAGGACATTATCTGATCAGAAATCCATTGTCATTGTCCTCCACCAAAGTGGCCCACAAATTGCTGATGCGAAGTCTGTGACCTCTATGGTGGGATTGAATTTGTACCAAAATTTAGTGGCTCAGCATTTCCTCTCCTCTTTCTTTTTAAAATCCCACACTACAGAAGGGCATAGGGTAACACATCTTACTGTCAAATATGATGTGGGACTGTTGGAAGACTGCCCATCCAAAGTGTCACCCTGGCTGCTCACCCATGGCTTCTACTTTCCAATAGGAGTTTTCCCCATACAATCCTACTCTTACAGAATTCTGTGCTCTCACAGGGTAGAAGAAGGGCAGTCTTGAATGATAATTCAAACCCTAAATTCTTTTCAGCGGCAACTCCAAAACTAACATAAACTCTATGCATTGCTTTGTTTGCATAGTGACACTTGCAATATTCATTTTGAAATGTGAGCAGAAAGCAGCCACCCAACACTGCTGCATTCTGTCCTTTGTCCACAGTAAGGTAGTTAGGAAGACACCACCACCAAGCCAAACAACAGTGGTGAAAGCTGACCTGCCCTTTCGCAGCCACCATACCATTTTGTGTGCACGGTTGCAATAGTTTCCACATCTGTTCATCTCTATTCATACTGTTGTTTGCCCAACTTAGCCAAGCAATGCAGAGGGCAAACGTTTAGCACCTGCCACACAATACCTCCCCACAGCTCTCAACTCTTATCCATAACATGTCATTTCCACTGCCAGTTTTATATACACAAACTGTCAAGGGTCTCATGTTTTGGAGTGAGACAGAGAAAGAGAAACAGAGACAGAGAGAGAAAAAAGAGAGACATACAGGGGCAAAGAGCAAGACTGCAACAGAAAGAAATATTCCCTGTGCCCTCCACATAAATGAGTGGAAACTCCATTTGTTACTGGCAGCTTTCGGGACGAGTGAATCATGTTTTGTACACACACCCTGATAATTTACAGCCCACTGGTTTCACAGCAAAGACTGACCATTCTGTGAATTTCAGAGAACAATTCATTGTCTTTGAGACCACCTACAAGTGGCATGCATGTGCTGTCATTCTAAGTTACTCCAACTCAGCATTTTTATGAATTCATTTTCTATACATAAAATTTGCAGCAGATTGCAATGTAATTGATCATATCAGAAATATCTTGTGCTTAAAGTGTTGATTTTAAAATCATTGATGAGTGTCTTTTTAAAAAATTGGAATTTAAGCACAAATAGTTTCATTCTGTTCCATTTCTTCATTTTCATGGTAAAACTAATATAGAGAAATAAAGGATGCCCCCCAAGAAATCCATGTTAAAAATTTTAAATTATAAAAATTAAAAATAATAAAGCCATAATAAGCACCTTAAGTACTAAAGCAAAATCTGTTCATTGAATCTACAGTGATTAACCAGAGCAAATGTCATCACTGTGAACTGATTTATTTAATTCAATTCCATATTTTAAAACATAGAGATAACTTCACAGCTCAATGAAAATTTGGAATGAGAGGAAAAAATGAAGTGGAGAGGGCAGAGTGAGTTTTAAGAGACCAGATCTTTGGTTCCAGCTGTTCATGTTAAGTAAGTTACTTAATTTTGTTTCAGATTAATTTTGTTGTGTATGAAAACGAAAGTGATAGATTAGCTGATCAGTTCCTGGAAAGATGGTAGTGAAGTGGACTTTAAAAAGTAAAAGGGAAGATTTTGTAATTTTCCAACAGATCTTAAGGAAAAAAATTCATTCAGCTAATTAAACCACGGTAATCAAATAGAATTCATTCAAAATAGTTCTATTGTAAGTATTATTTGAATTTAAAATTTTTACCCATGACATTCTTTCAAAGAAGGCTCTGAGTAATGAATTTCAAAAGTCTAACTTGGGTGGACTTGCTCTCAAACAGTGCAGCCTCTGTTACAACAGACCTCCTAGACACGTCCCGGGTGGATGCTGCGGAGACCACAGGGAGGGACCCTGGCACCACCCCACTGAAGAATGCAGGGAAGACCCTGCTCAGTCTTCCATAAGCAATGCTTAAATGCTGGGCAGAGAAATGAAGGTGAGAAATTGATAACAAAAAGATTAATACAGAAAAGGAACTATACTTTGGAAAGCAAATCGCCTTTCTTAAATAATTTTTGTAACTACCGTGAATTAAAATGGAGAATGGCACTGGCTTGTAACTCTCCTTAATTTTAGGAAAAATACTAATGTATTATGCCAAGAAAATAAGATCAACAACTACAGATACAAATGAAACAGCAGATGATGCCAAAATAAAGGGGAAATTGAGCATGTGGCAAATTGTATCTTAAGTATACGAATGAGTAATATTGAAGGCTAAGTCAAAAATCAAATTTATATTTTAAAAAAGATTTTTGATCATTGCCTCTAATACACAAATCAATGTTTCTAGTCCTGAATCTTCCCTTGCCTCCACACACTTCCAGCTGCCTGGTGAACATTCTACCTAGATGTCCCATCTGTACTTTGAAGTCCTTTTCTCCCCAAGAATAAATAGCTTCCCTCCTAAAAATTACCTTCAGGCATCCTCATGCTCTCAGTCACCCATGTCAGAAACCCGAGAATCCCAAGTCCTGACATTTTCCCACTTCCCATGTCCAGTCACCCAATCCAGCATATTCTAGCTCTTTCAAATGTCTCTCTCTTTCTCTATTCCTCACTGCTTTTACCCAAATTCTAGCCCTCCTATCTCTTCCCCAGATTATTACAAAATGAGTCTTTCCTCCTTCCCTCAGTGCCTCCTGCCCCCTACCTCCTCAATACCATACATTATGGTTCAACAATCCTGACAACTTGTTACTGTCACCCATGGGTTTCACTCCCCTATCTCACTGCTCTTTCCTGCAATGCCCTCCCCAACTCCTGTCCCCCTGCTCTTTACTTGGCTAACTCCTATTCATCTTTCAAGAGTCATTCCAGGGGCCACCTCCTCCAGGAAGCCTGCTTTTACACACGCAGTCCTCTGTCCTAGGCTGCATTAGATGCCTGTTCCACTCCTTAACGCACCCTCAACATACTTTTATCATACTGGAGCTGGTCGTTATCTATTTACACCTGTCTCTAGCATTGGACAGATATTCCTTGAAGGCAAAGTCTTATCACCTTTGCTTCTTGAGAACCTAGCAAAATTTATCAAACTGAAACTGAAAATGAATGAAATTATAGGGGAAAACAGATTGGAGGGTATTCAGGAGGATTATAAATGTCTGGGAATAGTAGTAATCGTTTTTCTTACTTAGGCAAATAGCACTTCATGGTTTACAAAGTGCTTTCATATGTTATATTGTTTGATCCTTAAAACAATCCTAGAAGGCAGGGTAAGGCAGATGTTGAGGCTGATACAGACCCTAAATACTTAAGAAATTTCTCTAGAAGAGAAACATTGTTGATTTTTAAACAATTGTTGATTGTGTGTGTGTGTTCAAATAGGTCTTCATAGATCAGAACTCTAGCTTCAAAGAAATTCCTGTTTGGTCAAAATAGCCAATTGATTTCCTTCATAACTACTAATAATTCTGCTGAAAAAAACTGTCAATTGTTTATACAGAATTTTCAATAAACTGTGCCCCTATTCACTCTTTTCCAAGTAGTAGTTTTTGAAAGACAGACCAGCTAATTTAGACTTCTAGAGACACAGGGAGATCTAATTCATTCTCACCTTCAAAAGATCACCAGACCAGGAGCTTCCAAAATGCTTCCCTGATTTCTGAAGCTGTCCCTTTTCTCAGGATGATGCCAACAGCTGAGAGCAGCTTTGGTCAGAGTCTTCAGCAAACAAGGGTAAAGGGTGCTGAGGAAGAATATCACAAAGATTCCTGAAAAGGAAAAAAAAAAAAACAAAAAAAACCAGAACAATATAAATGGTTTTGAGTTAGTTAATTCTATTAAACAGATTTCATTCTACTATCCTACTAAAACTGACAGGGGACTCTTAATACATATCAAATTCCATGATTAATTTTAACCAAGCATTATTGTACTTTGGGACATCAATGTCTAAGAAAATTTAAGCAATTTAATAGCAACAGGTAATGAAAGAAGGTAACGTAATTCCAATTACATTTCAATGTAGAAGTCTGAATTAGTCCTAAATAGCAGGAAACAACTGTGCACACAAATCAAAAAGAAAAAAAGGCACTTGACCTCATTCTACTCTAATACTTCATGGGAACATGGGAACACACCGTGCTTTAAAATCACAACGCACAGGCCGCGGCTAGGAAGAATCTAGTACAGACTGAAAAGAACAAACAATGAAGAACTAAGTATTTGATCAAAGTTGACAATGTCAGAGAGAAACTCAGAAATGCAATTACTTTTCAGAGGTGGCTTTGAAGGTGGTGAGAAAAGAAGGCATCTGAGAATAAATGTACCCAACACACCATTGTAAGAAAAAAACATAAGGTTAAGGTAGAACCACACAGAATGATACCTTAATTAAACAGAAGCCCGCTGACTAGTGCTTTTATTTAATATCTCACTTTTATGAAACAGGGTAACGTCACAGAAAGGACTGTTCAGAAAGCCTCTGTTCAACCAGAACTTGGGGTCAGTCTGTAGTGGGGTGAGCAGATGCAGGGAGTTCTAGAACTGCCTACACTACTAGCAGCATGACCTTGGTAAGAGCTTCTCAACCCTGCGGGCACATTAGCACCAGTGCACAAGCTTTTAAAAACTACCGATAGCTGGGCCCTTTCCTGGCCAAATAAATCCCTGACTACTTAATTCAGAATCTCAGGCGGATGGCACCCAAGCATCAGTATTTCTTCATAAGAGAGAAAGTCAGGGAAGTTGTTCCTTGATGACACCTCTAGCTCTAATGTGCTGTCTTCTCTACACTTTTGGCCCTGATAACTCATTTGTTTTAAAGTAGATATTATTTAAATTAATAGTATCCAAAACATAAAAACGCCATAAAATAGTTCCCCAATTTTCAGGAGTGGGGAACTGAGGGTCAAGAGGTAGTGATTTATGCAGGGCCCAAGCACAGCAGCAACACCAGGATGGAGTTCAGTCTTCTGGGGAGGATAAAGCCAGATCATGACACAACTCTGCTTCACGTTGGGTGGGGTATGATCAGAAGACACGGAGCCACACTGCTGATTAGGAACTAAAGATGCTCTTGGTTCTCTGGGCAGAGGAGGGCATAACCTCAGGATTCCCGCCGCTTAAGGATTAATAAAGATAATAATAATCCTCGTAGCTAAATTATTGAGTATTTCATATGAGCTAGACACTGTGCCAGGAGTGCTTTAATCTTCGCAAGAACTCTCTGACTTAGGCACTGTAATCATGCCCAATTTATAAATTTATTGAGGCCAAGAAAGATGAGCCTTGACTCAAAAATGGGTAGACCTAGAATTTTAACAAAGGTAGTGTCTCTTTTTACCATGTACTCCCTCAAGGGAATACGCCACCAGGCAGGCTGGAGGCGAGTCTACTCCGTCCTGCTGTCTATGTCATTTTCTCCTCAATTTACATTGGAAAGGGGAAAGAGAAGCATCCAGGGCTTTCCTGGTGCTTTCACATTTCTCAGAGTAAATAACTAATTTCTGTTGTTTGAGAGAGGATTAACATTTTATAAAATGATTTTTATTCTCCCCTTACACACTTCCAAATTAGTATAGTTTGATGTTGAGATTTAATTACAGTATTTTGGAGAACTTCAGCTCAGATAACCATCAAAAGAGTCATCACTAAAATCTGCCCTAAATGACTCAGTCCATCATAATAAATGAGTTTAAAGCCTAACAGAAATCTCTGAAACATGATTTACAATGCATTTGGAAAATGAATGATGAGCAAACATTCTTACACACATCTTCAATCATCTTAGAGAATTATCCGTGTTGCAGTTTGCCACTTAATTACATTTACATTATGTAAATTATTTCCTTTCTTTGGATAGCATTGTTATTGGCTGTAATAAAATCTAACTTACAAATATTTCACATATGAAATATATTTTAAGAGCCTAATGCAAAAGCATTACTGTTTTTGACACCTTAGGCATATCCTAATTATAGCATCAGAATTATCTCCATGGCTCATTTTAATAACAATGTGAAAAGATGATTTTCATTAGACACCTCTGAGAAGAAATAAAAGAGTGTTAATAAAAATAAAAACACAATTTTGGGAGGTGGAAGGAGCCTGGAACGTCACTGAAACCAACCATCTATCTGCCCATGACCCATTCCATTGTTAGGGAATTCTACATGGAGGTGAATCTCTCTTCCTGTAGTTTTCACTCATTGGTCCCAATTCTGGCCTTTGGAGCCATACCCAAATTCACATTCTAATGTAAACTTCCACAACCACAGCCACAGCTGTTCAGAAAAACAGGGATAAGCTGTTGTTTTAGCAGAGGAAGCCACTGATTAGATCAGGCATGAGCACCTCAGAAGGTGGTGGATGATCCTGGAGATAGCTTTGTGCAAAGGTCTGTGCCCTAGAAAGGAGATGATAATAAGCCAAGTCAATCAAACCTGCTCTATCTGTGATTTGGATTTAGATATTGGGTGTCAGAAGAGAACCTACTGAATATGCAGAGATAAGCAGAAAGGCAGAAGAGAGACCATAAGAGGAAGGAGTCAGTCTCTGAGGTTACCTTCAGAACTTGACAACTTCCTATTTTTCAGATCCAAACAGGAGTGCTGTGCATAAGTCCCTCCTCTCTAGAGTGTCCTGAGTGAGCCTCTCTTCTCCACAGCCCACAGTGCCCAGTACAGGCAGACTAAGATTATAACACCTCATTTACTAGCCATTCTTATAAGTGGCATGTCAGACTGACAATTAATATCTCTCTTACCGGGCCGGCCCGGTGGCGCACTGGATAGTGCGCCGCTTGGGAGGTGCGGCGGCGCTCCCGTCCGAGGGTTCGGATCCCACATACGGACCGGCTCCCGCTCACTGGCTGAGCGAGGCGCGGGGGCGACACCGAGGCTTGCGGTCCCGTTGCTGGTCCCCGGTCCGGTACGGGGGCAACACTGAGGGTTGCGATCCGTTGCCGGACACGGAAAAAAAGACAAAAAAAAAAAAAAAAAAAACTCTCTTACCTTCCGTAGGTCTTTATTTTCACCCCATTAATATTTCACCTTCTTTGACTAGGTCCATTATTCCATCCTGCCAAAAACTTTTGACTTCCCAGTTCTGCCCTTACAAAGTATTTGTTACACCTTTCACCTTCACATCATCTACAAATTAGACAAGCTCACCATCTAAAAGGACATTCATGCTATTAATAAAAATACTGCATGAGACACTATTTCACAGAGCAAATAGTCATATAAAAGAGATAAAACCCAAACTCCAAACTGTTAACAAAAATAATTTAGTGTCCAGGTCATTACTTAAAATAATCACCAATACTCCAAATTAATCACAAAATCATCCTGAAGATATAAAAGCTACCTAAACCAACATGACCAAGCAATTTAAATGCTGGATAAAGGTTTTACATTTACTAGTTAGAGATTTTAAAACCCAGAAGAATTAGGTTTCAGCATCAATTGAGAAAATGAGACCATAGCTGAGATAATTGGCAACATGAACTTTGTAGTTAATTACCTGTGCAGCAGACCAAGTTATATTTTAGAAACATATTGCAAAAACAGAGCCAAGTTAACTTCAACCTTCCCTGAAACAATTATGGAAATTGGCAGTACTTGTCGTTTTGAGTCATCTGGTATACCCTTGCCAACGTGAACTTGTTCTCCGAAGAAGACCTCAACTGCTTTGTCTAATTTAGCTTTTAGTAAGCCTCACAGGATCTCTCCTTATTGTAAAAAGCTCCATGCTGAAGGGCTTTTAAAGTTCTCATGTCTGCTTTTCTTAGTTTGTGTCTCCAGTAATGATGGTTGTCAAGCTGTCACTTCTCAGGTGGCCAGTGTGCCTGCCCGGAGCAACCCAACCTATTCTCACCACTCTAATTAGATGCTCCTGGTCCTCCCAGAGCTGTCTCTAAGGAAAGTAAAACTAGACAGCTTCAGAGGGAAGGCCAGAGGGGCAAGTTTGTAAAGAAAGCGCATGGATGTATGTGTGGATTTCACGCCATCTCTGTTGACCATGCAGAGGCCATTTTGGCTTGCTTCTTAGCTGTGTTGAATTGTTAAATTGTTTATTCAATAACTGCCGTTGTAGACTCACTAGGGGAATGCGCTGCCCTGGGAGCCATGAGAAATGCAAGATGACCAAGACTCTGGGACAGAGATCAGAGATAATAATACCCCTTTGTGTTCAATGGCATTTTGAAGTTTATTTTTCACAGAGATAATCTCATTTAATACTGAAAAATAAGGGTTTTTCTAGCATTGTATAGGTTAAAAAAATAAGTTTCAGTAGGAAAAACTTCTCAATGCTCATCACAGTAAGTGGCAAAGCCAGGACTCCAGGTGTTTTGTGATTCTTAGTTTATATTACTTCTGCCAGCCCATATACAGATAAAACAACTACAAGCTCCCCTCCGTTCTGGGTACTACCATAATTGGATGGCATATATTTGATCCTCATAACTGTACGAGGTAGGCAATTTTAGTATCCCCATCTAAGAGATGAGAAAACTGAGACACAGAAACGGAACTAATGGCGCAAGGTTGTATGGCTAGTAGGTGACAGCAAGTGATAAACTCCATGAAAACCACCAGAAGAAAAGTGGAGGAAGTTGTTGGATCTGTTGCTAGGAGGAACACTAAGCAAGTTTTGGAACGTTTTCTGGCATTTCCAGAACAGTGAGACTTTTCTTCTCTTGTAAATCCTGTGAGAAGACATTGGCATCAGAGATGAGAAAAAGATGTCAATTCTAAGAAAAGAAGGA